GTAAACGAATTATTAAAGAGCCTCGGACGGGGAAACATTATAATCCATGTGAAGCTATAAACGTTAATGGTAAACGAATTATTAAAGAGCCTCGGACGGGGAAACACTCTGTACATCCATGTGGAGCTATAAACGTTAATGGTAAACGAATTATTAAAGAGCTTCAGACGGGGAAACATTATATAAAATCCATGTGAAGGCATAAACGTTAATGGTAAACAATTGTTAAAGAGCTTCGGACGGGGAAACATTATATACAATCCATGTGGAGCTATAAACTTAATGGTAAACAATTATTAAAGAGCTTCGGACGGGGAAACATTATATAAAATCCACGTGACGGCATAAACGTTAATGGTAAACAATTATTAAAGAGCTTCGGACGGGGACACTTATATACAATCCATTTGATGATATAAACTGTAATGGTAAGCGAATTATTAAAGAGCTTTGGGCTGGGAAACATTACATACAATCCATGTGGAGGTATAAACTTAATGGTAAAAAATTATTAAAGAGCTTCGGACGGTGAAACATTATATACAATCCATGTGGAGCTATAAACTTAATGGTTAACGAATTATTAAAGAGCTTCAGACGGGGAAACATTATATACAAGCCATGTGGAGGTATAAACTTAATGGTAAACAATTATTAAAGAGCTTTGGGCGGGGAAACATTACATACAATCCACGTGGAGCTATAAACTTAATAGTAAACGAATTATTAAAGAGCCTTAGACGGGGAAACATATTATATACAATCCATGTGGAGCTATAAACTTAATGGTTAACGAATTATTAAAGAGCTTCGGACGGGGAAACATTATATACAATCCATGTGGAGGTATAAACTGAACGGTAAACAATTATTAAAGAGCTTTGGGCGGGGAAACATTATATACAATCCATGTGGAGCTATAAACTTAATGGTAAACAATAATTAAAGAGCTTCGGACGGGGAAACATTATATACAATCCATGTGGAGGTATAAACTGAACGGTAAACAATTATTAAAGAGCTTTGGGCGGGGAAACATTATATACAATCCATGTGGAGCTATAAACTTAATGGTAAACAATAATTAAAGAGCTTCGGACGGGGAAACATTATATACAATCCATGTGGAGGTATAAACTGAACGGTAAACAATTATTAAAGAGCTTCGGACGGGGAAACATTACATACAATCCATGTCAAGGGATAAACGTTAATGGTAAACAATTTAAAAGAGCTTCCGATGGGGAAACATTATATACAATCCATGTGATGATATAAACTCTAATGATAAACGAATTATAAAAGAGCTTTGGACGGGGCACATTATATAAAATCCATGTGGAGCTATAAACTTAATGGTAAACGAATAATTAAAGAGCTTCGGACGGGGAAACATTATATACAATTCATGCGAAGGTATAAACGCTTATGGTAAACGAATTATTAAAGAGCTTTGGACGGGGAACATTATATACAATCCATGTGGAGGTATAAACTTAATGGTAAACGAATAATTAAAGAGCTTCGGACGGGGAAACAATATATACAATTCATGCGAAGGTATAAACGCTTATGGTAAACGAATTATTAAAGAGCTTTGGACGGGGAACATTATATACAATCCATGTGGAGCTATAAACTTAATGGTAAACGAATAATTAAAGAGCTTCGGACGGGGAAACATTATATACAATTCATGTGAATGTATAAACGCTTATTGTAAACGAATTATTAAAGAGCTTTGGACGGGGAACATTATATACAATCCATGTGGAGCTATAAACTTAATGGTTAACGAATAGGACGGAGAGCATTATATACAATCCGTGTGGAGAGATAAATGTTAATGGTAAATGAATAATTAAAGAGCCTCGGACTAGGAAACATTATATACAATCCGTGTGAAGGCATAAACGTTAATGGTAAACGAAATGTTAAAGACCTTCGGACGGGGAACATTATATACAATCCATGTGGAGCTATAAACATTAATGGTAAACGAAGTATTAAAGAGCTTCGGGCGCGGAAACATTATATACATACAATCCATGTGGAGAGATAAACGTTAATGGTAAACGAATCATTAAAGAGCCTTAGACAGGGAATCATAATCCATGTGGAGCTGTAAACGTTAATGGTAAACGAATTCTTAAAGAGCCTCGGACAGGGAAACATTATAATTCATGTGGAGCTATACACGTTAATGGTAAACGAATAGAATTAAAAGAGCCTCGGGCGGGGAAACACTCTGCAAATAGAAGTTCTAGGAGCTTTTTACGCAATTGATGTTTTTTAAATATTTGAAATTACTGTCTGGCTACTCGTTGTGATAAAAGGGCGCAATTAAAGACGTACATTTCATAACAACGAATGTTTTGACGCATAAGAAGAATTTTGGATGTGACAGAATATAACTATAATGTCCCCGAGTATACAGCACAAACTGAAGATGAGTAACTGTTGCCCTGATAAAGCCAAATTATACTGCATTACAATTGAAGTACGTAAACGGATCTCTGACATGCCACAATTCCTATTATGTCCTTAATTTGCCAAAAGGTGACCTATCTATTAATTTTATTAAATGTATGCACTTGTCATACGTGATTTGTAAAATCCTATTGGCTTATAAGTGATGACGTCAAAGATGCGCTAAATAAACGCTATCACCACGTTACTGACGTCGTAGAAACATTAACGTTCAAGAATAGATATTGCTTCAACGGTAAAGTGTTTTGGAGAAAAATACAAAAATCACAATGGGAGCATATGTAGGAAAACACAAGAAGAACCGAGTTTCACATTCAGAAATAGAGGCCGAAATGCGAGCAAGGTTAGCTGCAAATAATCGCTCACAAAACGGTACAAGGAAAACAGGAATGAATGGTATGTGTTTTAAACAGTTCACCAAATTGCAGGTATAAATTAAATCATGAAATTAGATCTACAACATACAGGTTTTGTATTAATTAATACGATATTATACTGCAATTTATGGAAAACTAGCTGACATTCGTATGAAAAACGCCCGATGATATCATTTTAAATATCCGCACAACATTGAAAATATGATATCATATATATGAGAATAATCTTTTAAATTAAAAAGAAATATTCCGGGGAATGACAATTTTAATTGTAAAATAGCAATCGCAATGCGCCATGTAGGAACTACGGAGGTATTTGAATAGAAGACCGTACTTTAAATTAAGGAAATACTAGTATATGGTTAATGCAAATTTAACATTATATTGGATGCCTCTTTTATCAATTTATATTTGGCTTATTATCAAACTTTGTATATTTCTAAAGGTATCCAGGCAATCACCATTGACAACACATCAAAAGGTCTGGCAAATCACATTGAGGGTGAAACTACAATCGGGTCGGATAATAAGGTATGTAGCACAAAGCCATGCGAATTTATTGCTAAACTCCCGGTATTTGTTTCTAAAATTGGAATATAAAGTTCGTTTGGCATGTGTAAATACTGTTAGCAACTAGAACAAGTTATCAAAGTAGATTTGTAAACATGATGTTTAAACTTTATTTATAATAATTGTTTATTTTGATACCTTAAGATGACACGATGGACACAACATTATTCATGTTTAATTAACATTTTATCAAACTGTTTCTGTTGTAAATTAAAGTTGCCATATAAAATCGAAGGTATATATTTGTGGAATATTTCAGGTACATGGTGAAAATGAACTGTATGCAATGTTTCTATGCAGTGACTACAAGAAGGAAAACTTCTAAACAGTCTAGCTTAGGTAACCGTCCTCTAATTATTATTGTCACAATATTGAATTAAACAACTGTAAACGGTAAAAAAGAAATATTTATTGTAGAATAATAATCTAATGTTGCAATTGACTTTTACGATAATTTTAATTTGTGTGCCGTTTCTGCTTACAATAAAATGTTGAAGCACATGCGAGTTGAAAACCATGTAACCTTTTATTTGTTTCCTACGTGTTGAATAAATATAGTTCTTTATTTTTCATTTCAGGTCACGGATGCTGTTAAATTGAAATTAAATTAGAAAATGAGCATACAGTACTTTTTAGATGTAAAAAAGACAAACATTTTTGAAATTATATTACTCTGATTTATTTTTACACAATAAAAATAATAATTCGTATCTTAGAATTGTTTTCTTTTCCTCACTGAGATCTGTTCAATACTTTCTTCATTATAACAATTAAAAACAATTTCCCTCACCCTATATCATTTCATAACATGTTGATTTGATTTAAAAGTATCAGAGATGTGTTTGTCACATGCAAACATTGGCTTTATAGTCTCTCAATTGAAGAAAATATGTTCGCTTTATGTTAACATGTCAAATGATTTTGCAAAGCAAAACATAACATAACCTAAATATACTAAAACAACATTCTTGTAATGCTGGTAAATTTACAATTATTATTGGTACAATAGCTTATGTTACATTTTGTAAGACTATTTTTAAGTCGCTGATGAAATTAATATAGCTTATTCTATCCTTTACCCTGTTAGTCTCTCTGTGTATCTCTGTGGTGATATAAAAGTTTATGGTAAACGAATAATTGAAGTCTCGGAGAATGCAGATAGAAGTTCCAAGGCCTTTTTATGCCTATGATAAGTGTAAATGTGCTCAAGGAACTTTATACATCAGGAGATTTATACATAAATATATGACTTCTTCCTATGAAGATTGGACTGTTTATATATTTGTTGTTACCCCGATTGTATTGGTTTATTAAACGGTAAACCATTCACTGGCGGGACAGGAAAGAACAGCAATACGAGGTCAGTAGCCTAACTGACATAACTGACTTATACTCTCAGCAACGAGTGCATCCCTTGTTTATATATTTAATCACCGTATCTTCAAATACCTTACAATTAATGAATACATATTTTATACCTCAACGAATGCTTGGCAGGGTATGTTTTTCGAGTATTCTGAATTCTAAACTTCATTTCATTAAAACCTGAACTGCTAACAAATGTTATTTTATTCCATAAAATTCTAAAACAGTTTTACACTTGGATTCTGTTTGTTTTCGATATTCCGTTTTTATCTCGTTTTGCCAGACTCTAAATAGAGGTTTTCCATTAATGACGGCCTCGATTCTCTCGAATTCCTTATTTGTGATTTTCTTATCTATAAACTCAAATATATTGAATACTCCTATACTTTCATCAAATAAATCTTCAGTTTTCATAATTATAACTCTATCAGACACTGCCAATTCTCTGTTTCTAAAGGTTTTCAAATCGTTCTCCATTTTGATACATAGACTGTTTATATTTCTTGTAGCCTCGATCGTATTGTTTTCTTGAACGGGGAACCAGTCGGTTTTAATCCGGGAATTCATTATAGCGCGTGGGTCTCTAAATAACATTACTATTTTTAAGATGGGTAAATTTCTTAACAATTTTTCAGCGGTCAGTAGATCCAGTCGCAAAATCTTAACAATTCTTGTTTTTGCTCGTTTGCACTCTTTTTCAATGTCTAAAAGGCATTGTTTGGGAAAACTGTTACTTTTCTCAGGTGGAGTTACCTTTAAGCAGGTGTTAAACTGGTACCAAGCTGGTCCTGATTTATTTTGGTCCCGTATAAAGTCCATGACCACTTTTGGAATCGCTTGTATATTGCACGAGAAAATAGCATGCACGATTTGTAATGCTTCCGAAATTCGTTTACCAGCTTGTTCAGTACTGAAATGATGATTTGTTAAATGTTAGATAACACACAAAAAATAAAGTTAAAAATAATACAATAATACTGTAATAAAATAATAAAACAGGAATGATTATTTATAAATCAGTTAAGCTGATCCAGATTTTAATCCAGATATTGCCCCTTGGTGTGCATCCCATAAATTAAGCCAATTATTTCACAACCAGGTTTAGATTAAATAATAACAATGATAATAATAATAATAAACATTTGCCGTCTAGCTAAATTGGACAGTTTTTTTACATATCAACATGTTCCATATACTTACCTGCAGTCTTCATCTCTTACTCTGCAAACAGCACTCTCGGTAAAATAATGGTAAGGTGCCAATGGTTGTAAAGGCTCGAACACAAAAAATGTTCCCGGCGAATCCCTCAACAGTTCTCCAGTTAATGTTGAACCACTACGCATGTTTGACAGCAAAAGAAGATCTTTAACATTATTTACCTCTGGCCTTGGTACATACATAACTTTCTTACTTCTTGGCCCTAAGTAAAAAGTGACAAAGAATTTGTTTTAGCTTCAGTTCCTTAGTTATAATCTATGTACAGTTATCCAACAATTGTGATATCTATGAAAATACATGTTATATTCGGCTATTTATTTCCACTGTTTCAGATGATATGCATCTGAAGTATTCTTAATCAATAATTAAAACATTAAAACACATGTGTGCCCTTTCTAAAGAAACTATTCATTATTTAAAAAATATGATGCTTAATTAATGTGCCTTGTGTTTTGAGTTAAGATATAGTTTAACTTGAAAGCTCCAACAAATCTAGTCTGTAATTTTCACTTTTCATTTGCATTGTTAATATTTCAGAAAATGTGCTACATATAAGTATTTACGTGTATAAAGTAGGTAGACCAGTACAACACCAACAATACAACATGGTATCAGATTCCTTCTGTAAACTGACGTAATGACACGTGATCTTTCTCGTCTCATATTTTTACTTCTGAATGAAAAAAATAATGTATCAGGTTGTAAATGTCTATAAACGAACACTTTCAATGTTTTCTACAACAATCCATGGTAGTTATGAACATGAGCATATCTGTAAAGTGTTTTCTGATAGAAATAACTTTAAAGTCTTTGTAAATGAAAAAATCCAATTACTGCTAATCTAAACTGGTACTATAGAGTATTACATTGTGAATATCGATTTGCCGCAAAATGAAAAACAGAAAGCTATATAGACTAGTACATAAATATTGTAAAGTACTTACCTATAAAGTATTTCCCTTTGTATTCTTTCTTGGTCGGAATTGTGACGTCAAACACAAATTTAGTTTTTTTACTCGTAACAAACAAATTCACAAATTAAGGCTCTATAAATATACATTTAGCTAGCCAGTACATTCTGATTCATTTTTATTACCTGAAATTGCAGCATTGTCCAGTAACTTTTGTATATTACGTGTAAAATTATTGATCAGTTGGCTCACGGATTTCCATGGTTGGCTACAATAATGATGAATATTTTATAAGAAAATTGCTATTCTTGCTGGCAATATAATAACAGTAGATTTGTATATTAAATAATTTGACGGATTCTCCTTCCATGAAGCGTTCATGTGGAGAAGGTACAGGCCAACGGCAGGTGATTTCTGGGTAAATGTCATAACGGAAAACCAATATATTTGTATTTCTTTACACTGACATATGTTAATGTCCCCGGGTATACTGTGCTGAATGTCCTGCCTAATACCGAAAAGCTCGGAATAACAATTAAAGTACTTAGAGAACGATGACATGTACTGGCAGACATGGGTCATCATTACGTACAGACCATATCAATGACAGAGCACATACAATGCACGAACACTCCTTTATCTTGGCCACTTATGGTCAGGCTTCCGTCGGGTACCGCTATATACCTACTTGTTCTCTTAATGACCCTTGTGATATCATCGAGGTATTTTGTTTGACTATGGACTTATGCAGACGATATTATATATATGGTGCTGATTACTCTTATTAGCGTCCCAGACAGTGAGTTACGGTTACTGACAGGATGAATATCTTTAATAAATAATGCACGTGACTTTGAAGGTAAGTTAATGTAATGGACCTGTAAAACAATACACATATAATTCACATACATACATCCATACATATATATACGTACAGCCAAGCTATTTGAATAGATGAAATGCAAAAGCTATGTTTTTCCAGATATTTGTCTATTTCATGAAAAATTATATATGTGCATATCATAAACGAAATTTTGATGACCTTGCGAGTAAACAAAATCCATATTTTTAACCATGTTATCTATTGAGACCTCATCCAGAAAAGGCTTTCTTTATTTTAAAACCATCATTTGAGCACAATCATTGATCAATGTTGCCTTTACCATTGTTATACGCAACAGCAAAAAAAACAAGCAAACAAACTTCCCACATATATATTAAAGATTAGGGTAAGGGTTGTTTATCTTAATACGATTTGATGTTCCTGTTAAAATTGTAAATTTCGTGCGACTCGTGAACGTTCAGGATAGTAATTTATTTTACGTAAAGTTGTTCCCCCTTACATGTGTTACAAATGGCGTGGGTAACGTCAAAATGGAATATTGTCAAAATTTTACTTATCGTTTCCATTTATTTACTGATATCTAGAAAATGTCATATATTAGGAACTCAAGATTCTTCAAAGGAATATGTGTTTTCACCAAATGTAATCCTGCAGGTGCTCGAACAATCCTGTTTTATAGGCATCTCAAAATCGGCACTTGACCGGGAAGAGATTTCAAATGTATACTCGCTTATAAAAAAGGCGTTTGCGGATGAGGATCTTGTTGTTATTGGGCTTATAAATGCGGAACATTTTGTTTGGCCATCAGGAAAGTCATTGAAGACCAATGGCGGCAATCCCAATGCAAGTCCTGAAATTTTGTCTTTCCCTAAAAGGGAAGTTGACAGGACATGTTTATCTACAGGAAATTTGGCGAAACCAGACCCAGTGGCTGAAAGCTTTACGGGAATTAAAACTGTAGATATACTTGTTGAATTTATTAATCAAAAATGTAATACTTATCGGACAAAACGTGGTTATTTATCTGTTGAAGGCCTTCATCGACAAGAAATCCTTAGTTCATTATTCAAAGTAAAAGAAATATCTGAATATGATATTAAAAAATTGCTTACAGAATCTGATACTAGAAAAGGTCAATACTGTAGCAAAATTGACTGTAGAAGAGAAATCAATAAAATTTCATCTCTTGAAGATTCAGAAATGAGGTTAAAGGGTGAGAAAACAAAAGCTGGATATATGATAGCTTCTGCCGATCTTGAACATTTGCTCAATTTCAAAGATGAAGAGCTCAATATAGCAAAGTGTGAGCATGCGCCTTTACCATCCAAAGATAAATTCTTTCATGAATATTTAAAAAGATCAAAACCAGTAATTTTCAAAAATGCTATAACTCATTGGCCAGCAATGAAAAAATGGACAAATGAATATTTTAGAACACATTATGGTGATAGGTTAGTTCATATTAAGCTTACACCTCTAGGTAAACTAGAAGGTGTTGACTTTGCATCCAATTTTGAAAATTATAATGACTTTAACATTCCACCTGTAGTGAAAGAACAATTACTATTTCCAGATTTAGTTGTTGTTCGACCTGCAGAAGCAAATATGAATTTTTCAACATTCATAGATACTTATGAATCTGTAGCCAATGGGAGCAGGAGTAAATTTTCAGCATATCTAGAGTACTCGTCCATTTCTGACATAATGCCTGAGTTGCAAGATGACATAATAGAGATGCCTTTCATGCAGAAAACACTTCGTTTAGAGCATCTGAATATGTGGCTGAGTGACGGGAATACACTAGGAAAGTTACATTTTGATCCTTTTGACAATTTTCTCTGTCAGGTAATCTATCATTGTTGTTAAACTAAAAAAAAAATAAAAAATAAAAAAATAAAAAGCTTTTTTTTTTTTTTTTTTTTTTTTTTTTTTTTTTCTTTTTTTTTTTCATTTATTTGATATTTGAAGTATAACAATACAAACATACATATTAACATACAATTCACAGACTCATACCTATAATTTCAATAACAAAAAACTACATAAGTATGAAAAAAAACATCCATTTACTCCATATTTCTACTATATATTTATTCATTTCGAATAAAAGAAAGAGTATTTCAGATAAAGAGACTGAAAATTTAAAGTACATGTATATTCAAAGACATTTTAACATTATTTAGAGAAAGGGAGAATGAAAAAAAGAAGGATTTTTGAAGTATATTCAAAAATATTTAACATTATTTGGTGTAAAAATAAGGAAAGAGAGAGAAAAAAAAACAACAAAGAAAAAAGTCAGAGAAAATATACATACACAAACATACACACATACATTCAAAAAGATACTTTTTTCCTACATACATACAAAACATACATACAATCGCAAAAAAGAGACCAAAAAAAAGGAACAAGCGAGCTAATTTCAATTAATTTTCTTACGTTTTATGATTTTGAAATTATTTTTAACTTACTGTTGGTTTGTAGATTAGAGCGTTAAACAAGTTACCCCATTTTTGTTTGTGTGATTCAACGTTATCATTTAAAAAAGCAATTTCCTCTTCAATTTGTATTCTCAATAGCAAAAAGTTTTTGAAAATATCAAAAGTTGGTTCATGCTTTTGGTATTTCATTTTAAGGATAAAATATTTCATAAGTATGATGATATAATTTACTAAAATACTATTAATATTGTTTTTCAGTTCTCCAAAAAACACTGTTTCTAAATTATATGAGAAAATAATATTGATTGATAAAAGAAAAGAATGTAATTTTGACCATAAATTTTGTACAATAGTACATTCCCAAAAAAGATGGTAAAGCGTTTCTAAATTGCTACCACAAAAATCACATAGATTTGAATTACAAAGGCTATACTTAAATAACATTGTATTAGTTGGAATAAGTCTATGAATAAATTTGTATTGAAAATTTCTCAATGACACGTCTGTAGTACTTTTAAATGGAACCATATATATTTTTTGCCAATCCAACTCAGTTTCTATTTCTTTTTCCCATTTCTCTTCATTTGTATTTTTGAACCTTTCATCATTTTCAAGTTGAATATTATATAAAAGCTTATTTGTAGATTTTGATTTTTTAACTTTATTTAGGAGTGTATCTTGTACTTCGTTATAATTTCTTGTAGATTTCAGACTATTAAGATATCCTTTTGGTATATTATTCACAAGCGTGTAATATTTTAAAAACTCAGCATTTTCCATACCATAGATATTTTTAAGGTCTTCAAATTTGTAGAGTTCATTTTTCCTATAATCATATAGATGTTCTAAATATAGAATACCTTTTTGATGCCATGTTTTATAGTACACCAATTTATTATCAATTTTAATATTCGAATTATTCCATATTATATGTTTAAGGTTATCTTTTTTATTATTGTGTTCTTGTTGAATATGAAACCATGACGAAAGCACATTGTTTACAAATGAATTATGAGGAAAAAGCTTATTGATATCTGATTTCGAAAGATTACAGTCAAATATAAGGTCATTTCCATACTGTTTTATCTTTTGATTTATAAAAAGTTTCCATAATCCTTTATTGTCCTCATTTATATATCGTTTGACCCAATTTGCCTTTACTGCATTTAAAAAATTATTAATATCGATCATTTTTAAACCACCATTTTTAACATTAAGTTTTAATGTTTTACGTTTGATTTTTTCTGGCTTGCCATCCCAAAGAAACAAAAACATTGCTTTAATTATTTCTTTTATCTTATTACTTGATGGGTTTTCTAAAACTGAAAATGGATACAACAGTTTAGGTAAGGCAAAAGTTTTTATTACCATCACTTTACCCATAAGTGTCAGTTTTCTGTGTTGCCATTGTTTTAAGCAAATAAAAAAGTTTCTTAGTTTTGGTTCTAAATTTATATCTGTATTTATTTTGTAATTAGACGAGAAAAGAATGCCTAGAGTTTTTGCTGAATCAGATGTCCAATTGAATTTTTTATATTTACAATGTTCTATATCACTTTTTGTGAGCGATCCCACTCGTAGAACTGTGGATTTTTTTGTATTAAGTTTTAAACCAGAGATTTTGCTAAATTCCGTTATTACATATACAAGTTTTTCAAAAGACTTCACTGATCCATCATTAACAAATGTTGCATCATCTGCAAAAAAGGATTGCTTTATTGTTTTGTTCGCGATTTCTATTCCTTTAATTTCACTATCTTTTTCTATGAAATTTGATAATATTTCTATACATAAAATAAATAATGAAGATGATAATGGACATCCCTGACGTACTCCCCTTTCTATATTAAAAGACTCTGAAAAATGTCCATTATTGATAACTATACTTGATATATCAGTATAAAAGATTTTAACCCATTTTATAAGATCTTTGCCAAAATTAAATTTATTCAGTGTATCAAATATAAATTGATGGCTTAGACTGTCGAATGCTTTTTCATAATCAGCAAAGAATAATAAACCCGGTTTATTTTCTTTCTGCAGATGTTCAATAATTTCAAAAATCAGCCTTACATTTTCACCAATATATCTATTTTTCATAAAACCAGTTTGATTAAAACTTATTATAGACGGCAGAACTTTTTTTATTCTATTTGAAATTGTTTTTGTTGCAAGTTTATAATCAACATTGAGCAAGCTTATTGGTCTCCAATTTGAAATATCTGTAAGATCTTTATCCGGTTTAGGAATAAGGGATATTATTCCTTGTCTTTGAAGTGTTGTTAATTTTGAAGTATCAAAAGAGTAATTAATGGAAGCTAGATAATAGTCTTTTATGCTATTCCAAAATAATTTATAGAATTCAACTGTTAAACCATCAGATCCTGGACTTTTATTATTTTTCATTTCTGATAAAGCTATTTTACATTCATATTCATTAATTTTCCCTTCACATGTGATCTTTTCTTCTTCATTTAATAATTTTATATCTGTATCAAAAAAATTAATATTTGAGTTTTGAGAAGTTCTATATCTATACAAACATTCATAAAAGGATTTTTCTTCTTTTAATATTTCTTTTATTTCTGTTATTTCTTTATTTTCTACCTTTAATTTATGTATAACTTTTTTCTCGGCTTGTCTTTTTTCTAAGTTTGCAAAATATTTACTATTTTTTTCGTTATGTTCTACATGAATAGCTCTTGCTCTTAAAATTGAGCCATTTACACGATATTCATAAATTTCATCAAGTTTTTGTTTTTTTAATAAAATTTCATTTTTTAACTTATTTTCATCTTCACTTTCTTTATAGGAATCAATTGTTAGTATTTTTTCTTCTAATTGTTTTATTTCATCAATCAAATTTAACTCTTGTTCTTTTTCTTTCTTTTTCTTAAAACTTGCATAACGTATTGTTTCATTTCTTATTGCACCTTTTATTATTTCCCACAAGGTATTTGGATTTGATGTTTTATTTATTTCTGCTGTTGTTTGAATAATTTCCTTAATTACACTTTGATAAACTTCATCTAATAATAAAGCACTGTTCATTTTAAAGTATCCAGGTCCTTTTTGCATTGCATTATCATTAAATGTCAAAGTAACTAGAGAATGATCTGTTTTAAAGCCATGTGAAATATTACTTTTTGAAATGATGTTTCTAAGCGAATCGGATATAAGAAAGTAATCAAGTCTACAGTATATGACTGGTTTTCCATTAGAGTGCCATGTAAATTGCCTCTTTTCGGGGTGTTTAAAACGCCAAATGTCAATTAGATTACATGTTTCAATTATGTTTTTTATCTTATCTCTACATTTTCTACTTGTATGAAGATTTCCATTCTTTTTATCCAAAGATGTATTAATTACTGTATTGAAATCGCCACCGATTAAAATGTTCTTGTCGTCATTTTCAAGAATAAACTTTTCAAGTATATCAAAAATATATATGTTATCATCATTTGGTCCATAAATATTAATCATTGTGAAATCCTTGTCATTTATTTTTACTTCAATCATTATTAATTTTCCTATAATCAATTCTTTTTTATTTAAAATTTTAATATTACAATCGTTTTTAATCAAAAATGCAACGCCTGCTTTGTTAGATTTATTTCCACTGAAAAAAGTTGTGCCATTCCATTCATTTTTCAAAGGTTCATATTGATTTGTTAAGTGGGTTTCTTGTAACATATAAATAGAATATGGTTGTGAATCCAGCCAATTAAATAATTGTTTTCGTTTTTGACTATTTCCTAACCCTCTAACATTTAAAGTAATTATTGTAGTTTCCATGAAGAGCAAACCAACCTCATACTTAAAAGTATAAAACCATAATACACAAAAAACAAAACCAGCTCACCTATTAAATTGAAAAAAACAAATACGAAAACAAACTGTTGGTTGTTTTTCATTTACATGTAATGTGATCCATATATTGCTAACCTCAAAAAAATATACAAAGTAGACTTTAAAAAAGTGACAGAATTATAAATGCAATTTTATTAAGCAATCAATATATGTGCTCTTTTGCTTACTCTTATTTTTTAACTTTATATAGTATGCTTTTTATTACTTCAATATAATAAACTTCAGTAAATAATGCTTCCACAAATAAAACAAAAATATTCTTAATTGGATACATTTAAATGTAAAACTCATGTTAACTTGTTATCTATTTTATAATTATCCATAGTGTATTTTATTACTAAAATTATTAAGGTTGTTTCTTATACTTTAGAAGTATACATACAATTTCCATGTATATTAGTTTAGTATTTAACTTTTTTCTTTTTGCTCCGTGGATTTAAATATTGTACCGCAAAATTCGAAAGTTGTATTGAGAAAAACAACATAAGTGAGAAAAAATAACCTTTTGAATGTGTTCTATTAATAATAGAAAAA